CGCTATACCGAATGACCGCTATGCCAAACATTTAGTGTGGACCCCGTCATGTTTGTTACAGTGGCCTTCCACTGTATTAGGCCTATCAGCTGTATGGTATTACCAATGAATTGTCTTTGCATTATGGTTTGCTTTGTTAGGAGGGGACTAGTCTTTGAAATCAAGATGTGATTTGCAGTGGTGAGGGTGACATAAGTTTTTGTCATCTGGTCATTTGATTATTCTTGGGCAATGAAAATACAGTATTCAAGACAGATTATAACAGTTAAACGTACGTACATTTAAGCTGATATTCAGAGTATTCTGTTTTAAAGCTACTAGTAAAGTACTTTAAAACTGCCATTTGAGACTTGCCACGGTATGGTGTCCTTTATTTGAGGAATATGAATTATTTTTATCAAACATGGAATTGGCAATGAATGGATTGCAGTGGGTATGTTCAGACAAGATATAAGGACATTAGTAGAGAAGCAGGGGGGAGGGGTGACGTCAGAGGGACCAGTGGTCCCCCTCTCACTTTTTCAACTGAGGGGACTTGGCCGCTGCTCCACTTTGGCAGGTCTTATAATGATTTTATTGGGCAGGACTTAATGAATCAGTCTATTAATGGCTGATGCCTGATGGTCTCACAATTACATGTACCTCCTCCTTTTCAAAAACTGCTGGTGCTGGACAAGGAACCCAGCAGTAGCCATTCTTGTGCTCCAAATTTAATGTTCCAATCTACTCATTGAAAGAAATTTTGTTCCACTTCAAAGATACTGATTTTGAGAAACGATAACCATCTGAAATGATTGTACATTTAATGTTGCAGACTTTCTTTCTTGACCATTAGTTGACTATGCATGCATAAATCTGATATTTACATGCAGAATGAGTGCAGCCTATTTTGCACTACAAGACACCACAAAACATACTACTTTACTTTCCAAGCCACTTGTACTTTACAGGTTTGTTTGCATGGTGAAATTGAATGTTATTGTTGCACAATAAATTGAGCAAAAAGAAAGGAAAAAGTTGTAATGAAAGCTATATCGTGTTCAGAACTGCTTGTTTTGATGTACTGGTAATGCTATTGATTTGTTATAAACGATTCATGAGTTTAAACCTTTTTTGCGCTAAATAAGGGGAAACAGGCTACCAGGGTTCTATGTGTGTACATGGCTCTTTCTGGTATATAGTTATTCTTGATCAACCACTTTGAATATTGATTTACATGTACAAACCATAAAAGCATGGTTAGAATCAGATAAAAATCAATGTTTTAACATAAGCACATAAATTCCCCCAATTTTTTTGTTTTAGTTCCTAGGAGAGACATTCTCGCCCTCAAATTTATGAAAGTATCTGAAATCTGATGTGAAAGGCTAGACAGTGTACTTGAATCATTTGTAATGTATATGACATTGCCTCAATTAGTCACTCATAGTTGAGGTGTGGTTCCACAGATCCTAAGGAGTTCAAAATGATCCAGTGATGCTCTTTTGGCAGTTCTTTAAACCAAACTTTGTGTTTTTTTTCACAAGCCGTCGAAAGCATGCACTTGAGTATACAGTGTTAAAATACACGTCGGGCAGGGCAAAAAAAATCCAAAATTAATTAGAATTCAACACACTACTGCCCCACTGCAGGAAACATTAGAAAAACATGTATTTTCATATTTTTCTGGTTTTGGTTTGCATCAGATTGGGATGGAACAGAACATAACAGAATTAGAATTACATTTTCAATTACCATCCACAGATTAAGTATAACTAATTTGTTTAAAGCCATACTATAAAATCGGGGTCAGATTAAATGAATGTACAAATGTCATTTCTTCCAGATGTTTGCCTGATTTTAGGCCTTAACTTACATACAGTGACAATTTCTGAAACACAGGTGTGTTCCTGTGTTTTTGTGTAGTAATATTTCTTATTTGCTGTAAAAAAACACTTATCAGTGTACTTCTGAGTTCTGTTTCTTGAATAATTTCTCTCCCCACTTGTACATTTTTCTGTGCAAACGGTAAAATTACATGTATGTCTAATACTGAATGACCTTTGTATATCAAATTAATGCTCTTATCAGTTGGATTATCAGGTAGTGGAAGGTCCTCTTCAAAGATAAGATTGTTGGAGACCAACCAGTGTTTTCTTTGAGCACATTTAAAGTAACTAAAGCCATATGTAGAAGAATGGTATAGTAGCTAATTTCAGGTTATTTGGGGCACTGCTAACAACTCTGTCAGCAGGTTTGCTCGAAAAAGGTATGGGTGTGTGAAGTGACCAAAGGACCATACCACAGTAGCAACTAGAGGTCTGTTTCTGTACTGGCAAGGAGACTTGTTTATTGTATTTTGCAAGCACATAGCGATTGTGTATGAACATTATCATCAAGGGCAGTGTAGAAGTGCACCAGTAATTGTGAGTTTATTTTGAATAGAAAGAGTGATATGGTCGTATTAGTTTTGGATGTGATTAAGAATGTATCATTTTAAAAATCTGCAAAAGAAAAATCATTGGCTGAAGTGTTATGAAACAAACATTTACTTCTTGAACTCATGGCATAGTGAAACAATCCTCCATGGTGTGCACTCTTGGTTTTCTGTTTTACCTCTGTAAATGTTCAATGCATTAAAAAGGGAGGCTAGTTTTACAATGTACTTTGTACATGTATAATGCCTGAATAAATCCCTGTTATCTGATTGGTGGGTAGTTGACAATGTGTCATTGAATTTTTTTCCAATGCACAGCACAGCCACACAATAAAAAATAGATGTTTCATTCCATGGAATGGAAGTTCACTTCAGTGGTGACATTAAACCACAACCCCTTACACAATATACATATAGATGATTTGAGAATTTCTTCAGATGACATTAAGCCATGACACAGAGATTTGTTCAGGATTTATTCAGGTGTTATACAAAGCACTGATTGTTTTGTATTCTCATAGTGAGAAAAATGGAGGGTAACTTTCCATCTTTGACGTCATGAAGTTTTTCTTACCATTGTGTATATAAATGTGTACAAACATAATGTACCACTCAACACAGCTTCACTTCGTACATGTACATGCACGTCCAGTAATATACCAATATATGTAGTACCTTGTTTTAAAATGGATTTTTTAATTTTAATATGGAATCTTTCAAAATTTTTGTATTGCAAATGCCATAATTTAAGGATTAAGTTCAACCATTAGCTGCACATTTGCTTGTTAATGATCATGTACATGTACAAACATTTTCGATCTGATTTTTCATTTTTATTATTCAATTATTTGAAGTTCTAAATAGGAGAAATTCAGAACTTAAAGAGTTGCAGTTATCTTTTGACGGATTTTGCATTGTAAATGAGATGCTGGTTTTGAGCACTGTTTGATGTATTTTCATTACTACAGAGCAAAATGGGGCAAGACATGGAAGGTGACAGTGATGCAGATGCAGATAGCATTCAGTACGACTCCGACACGTCTCCACAGATGACTGGACTTAGCCACAAGCACAAAACAGCAGCTGGCTCAGTATCCAGCATTCCAGCAGACAGTGCAACTGATGATGTGGATTCCAGAAGACGAGGAAGTGGGAAAGATGAACATTCCTCACCAACATTCCTAGAGAAGGTCAATGCACTGTTCCGATCAGATTCATCAGATTCTTCAACCCCACCGACACCTACTAGAAAGAAGCCATCTTTGTTGAAGAACATTATGGATCTTGCTTTGGAGACAACTTCCAGCAAGGAACCAGTTGGTAAGTTTTGTTTGGGGGAACTGGAAAACAAGCAGAGATTCAAATGGGCAAGGATGTAAACTTACAAATCTCTCACAGATTACAAATTTACAAATTACAGATTCATAGGTACAATGGAAAAAAGACTACTTGCTTGAAAACTGATAAATAGTTTACCCTTTAGCTTGTTTGGAATATAATAATGTTTGCTTCATGCTCTTCATCGTTTTTGTAATTATCATGAATGGAATGCTATTTCACATTTGATATCTGTGTTCTTTTGACCTCTTTAGGTAGAAGTGGGCCATTTTTATAGGTGGCTTATTTTGTGTGCATTAATGCACACTCAGAGGGACCATTTGAACATTACCAGTGGAACAACATTAAGCACATTTTACACAGCACAACCCATTCAAACCTTCAAAGTTTTAAGACTATGCATATCAAGGCATACATAGAGTAACACGTGTTCATGTCACCTAAACCTCTATGAGATGTACCCTCATTATTCGTATGTATCAGAAAGTGTAAAATAAAACAGGCATCTTACATGAGATTGATACATGAACATGTTGCATTGTGCATGTTGTATGTACAGCATGCCTGGTGGGAGCTCATGAGGTAATGCTTGCATGATACACTGGTTCCTACAGCAAAAAATATCAAAAACGACTTGGAATAGCCAGGAGCCAATGACCCATGCATAAAGTACTGTAACTTTCAGAGCATAAGCTTGGCTTACACATTGATTCTCACACTGAAGTATGTGTCTACAGCTTATACGCTGGTCAGCTTGACAGCAAAATTTGAAGGATAAAATCAGTCACAAAAGCTACACCAGGGCCACGCGTACTGCATACTCCGAATGGCACACAATTCTTACCTACTATCCCAG